CAGAAGTACAATTCCCCAAGAAATTAGCTGGTTATATAATTATCATCCAGTCATTTGAGGGAAGGGCCACAGCTCAGTTGCAGAGAATCTGCTTTGCCTACAGAGGCTTCCAAGTTCAATCCCCAGAATCTCCAGGTAGAGTTGGGATAGTTCCCTTCCTGGAACCCTAGAGAGCTGCTCCTGGTTAGGGTTTATCCACACTTACCTGTGGTGGAAAGGTAACTGTGGACAGTACTGACCTAGATAGAGCAATGAACTGATTCAGTACAAGCCACCTTCCTATCTTCCTAAGACATAAAAACAGAATTATTATTAATTTTGATTGTTGCATTCCTCTGTCTCGGGAGTGAATGAAGGAGTGTGCCTTTGGGGGTGAGGTCAAGCTGTTGGAAGGTTGCAGCACCTGCTGTGGTTGTAGAGACTGCTATAGGAGAGGCATGTTTTGTTGCAGCTGGGGCAGATGAAGACATCTGCTTCTGCGGATGCAGACGCACTGTGGCATTTATTTTCTCTGTGCTCCTCTCAGTGGTCATCCCTCCTCCGGTCACTGCTATGGATGCACAACCTGACTGTCTGACTCCAGGCATTGCAGTCATCTGCAAGGGATTCCCACATGGTGAGGCTGATGTTGCCAGCCTTCATGGCACTTTTACATTTTTGTAATGCAGGGTCAGTTTTCCAATGGGCCTGGTGCCTGAAGCCACCTCCCCGTAAAGCATGTCTTTGGGGATCCTGCCATCCTGCCTTCTGTGGAAATGACCAAGCCAGCATAGATGTTGCTGAGAAAGGACTATGGGTAATGTGGGCTTGAGAGAGCACTTCTTTGTCTGAAACTCTGTCCTGCCATGTGACACTCAAAATATTCCTGACAGGTCACATGTGGAAGGCATTGAGGCAGCAGTCCTGGAAGATATATGTTGCCCATGTCTCACTACCATAAAACAGTGTGCAAGAGGAAGCCATGGAGGTATGTCATGAGGAAGGAACTGAAGCCAGATGTCAGCACCTCTGTTGAGTTCTGCCCTGTCCCAGGGCTTTACCACATGCCTGAGAGTTGATGGCATCCTTCAGCCAGGTAGAGTCTGAATACTCTCAATTGCTCATTATATTCACTCTTGTTTTTTCTATCCTCTCTTTTATTTTATACTTAGGGTTTTATTTTATTGGTAAAGTGTTATTCACCCACTCACACCCTGGTCTCATCCACTCATGCTCCTAAAGTCTCTCAAAAGAGGAAAAGTCACTCATTCCAAAAATAAATACGTAGCACGATTTGTAAAGACAATTAAACAGGGAATTTTTACAAAAGATGAATGACGGAAAGTAATGGTTGTTTCAGTGGGCCAAATCTGTCTCCTACAAAAACAACAATAAGATGAGATCCATCCCTATCGTGTCAATGGATGGACTGCTGTAATTTGTCTTTAGTCATTCCCAGAGATAATGGATCAAACATACTTTTAGAGAAAGCTACCTCCAGAATTCATTGTACCTTGCAGAAGGAAGGTGACTTTCAATAGTTTTGAACTTTTTCTACCTTACATTAAGAGTTGATGAAATATTTGTGCCAACACACCACATGCAACTCTAATGTTAGCTCTGGGATTCAATAACAAGTCTAAATCCATCATGGTTTTGAATTTCCTATATTTTTTGTAAGTATGCATTAGGAACTATCCTGCAGAATGATCCATAATGGAACAGCAACCTCTGAGCAATCACTCAACCTGATTCACTGAAGGACTAGTGGAAGAGGGAAATGTTTTGACAGAGATCAAGTGTGCCCTTATTAGTCTCCTCTAAAAAAAACACACAAAAAAACAAAAAGCATCCATTTTATCAGTCCACACTCCAAGCTTTTCAGGTAGCGAAACAGCAATGAAAAATTGTTGCACATCAGGGATGGAAAATATTCGTGGACACACACAGAAACCTCCAGCTTATATTGATGTGGTATCACACGCAGCGGCAATGGCCAAGAATCCATAATCTAATGGATGCCTTGAAATGATTAGCTTTGCTTTTTCAAGGAACAGATCAAAAGCATTTGGAGAACCCTGTTTAGGTAGCATGTGGGCATTGTGAAACTGCAATCTGATTTTTCATTGATCTGCCAACAGGGTATAATGGATTGGATATGAGAGAAAGAATTCTAGGTTCAAATCCACAATCAGAAGTTAAGCTAACTGTGTAAACTTGAACCAGTCATCATCTCCCAGTCTCTTACCTACCCTTTAAGGTGACTATGATTAAAATGAGACAGCCCTGTGCTTATCCCTTACACAGTGGTACCTCGGGTTACATACGCTTCAGGTTACAGACGCTTCAGGTTACAGACTCCGCTAACCCAGAAATCGTACCTTGGATTAAGAATTTTGCTTCAGGATGAGAACAGAAATCATGCAGCGGCGGCACAGCAGCAGCGGGAGGCCCCATTAGCTAAAGTGGTGCTTCAGGTTAAGAACAGTTTCAGATTAAGAACGGACTTCCGGAACGAATTAAGTTCTTAACCCGAGGTACCACTGTAGTTCCTTGGAGGAACACTAAACCATAAATAATTCTGATATTATCAAATCTTTCTCCCTTCTTTGTCTTTGTTTTTCTATTGAGTAGAGCTTCAGTTTTCAGGATGCTTTGCAGGAAACCATAACCATCAAAAGTGCTATACATTTATAATGCCTTTTGCTTGCCTAGATGGAAGGTGCATGAGTGTGAAGGAACTACCCCACTTTTGCATCTGGCTGTGCCCCACCAAGGACATATGGTCCACAGAAAGTTGCTCAGGGTGGAATGTGGCCCTTGAGATGCAAAATGCAAGGGAAAGACATGGCAAAGTTCATTGGTATATCATCTGTTTTGCATGCAGGAGGTCCCAGGTTCCATCCCCGACACCTTTTAGGCAGAGATCCCCTGCCTAAGAAAAACATGGTTAGCACAGACATTACTGAGCTATGTGGGCCAATGGCCTGACTCAGTATAAGGCAGTTTCCTATGTTCCTAAATTGTCCCCAACTTATCTGGATCTTTGGAATGATAAAACAGAGCAAATTCTTATGACCTTATCAGATCTATATGGCCTTTTAAGAGAACTTCTGAGCACTGAGAAAGGATTTGTTTCTGCTGCATTCCATGTGTGGGTTTGTTCAAAGCACAATCAATGTATCTAACAGCACGAGTTTTCTGCTTTTGCTTTATAAATCATGCCCTTTATAGCTTCATCTAACTTGCTGTTCTCCAGGCCGCGAGGAGGTAGGTTCACAGTGTGAGGCCAAAAAGATTTCCGGGGGTGGGGGGGAATCTATGCAGAATAGATAATGTGATTTTAAAAGTTGAGAAAATCATATTACAGAATAAAATTATGCCAGTGAACAATAGGCACCATTGGACTTTTGATATGCATTTATATCCCATTTGAATTTCCAAGCGGAAATTGCCACAAAAACAATTGCATATAATCAGCCTGGCATACAAATTGGATCACAGCCCCCAGCATTGATTTGTAAGGCTTCCCAAAAAGCATGTGGATTATAATGATATTGCAATTAGAGATTTGAAACACAACCATACATCAGAGAAAATGTGAGATATTTTATCAGCATTTTACCTGCTAGCTAAAGACAGATTAATGAGTTGTTTATAGCAATCAGATACAAAGTATGTTTTCACCCTGAAAGCCGAAGCACAGTGAATCAAACGCGTACAAAGTCCTGATCTCGGAGCATTCATTATTACACATTCTTTGCAAAACACCATTCATGTTGCAACACTTTAAAGAGCTAGAGAAAGAAGTAACCTTCTCCTCTGTGGGGTTTGCAGTTTAGGGATCTGACTAGCCATGTAAGGTGATGCATATCAGGGCAATATATATATATAATAATTTGACATGGAGTCTGGACTCCAAACGCATTTGGAATACTGTGTGCAGTTCTGGTTGTCTCATCTCAAAAAGGATATTGTAGGGATGGGAAGGGTTCAGAAAATGGCAACCAACATGAACAAGGGGATGGAAAAGTTCCCTCTGATGAAAATTTGTAGCATTTGGGACTTCTTAGTTTAGAGCTGTGGTGGCCAAACTTGGCCTACCAGCTGTTTTGGGACTACAATTCCCATCATCTCTGGCCACTGGTCGTGTTAGCAAGGGATGATGGGAGTTGTAGTCCAAAAACAGCTGGAGGGCCAAGTTTGGCTACCACTAGTTTAGAGAAAAGGGAAGTAAGAGTTGACATGACAGACGTTTGTAAAATTATGTAAGGCATGGAGAAAGGGGATAGCACATTCTCTCATAACACTAGAATTTGTGGGCATTCAATGAAGCTGGATGTTAGAAGATTCAGGGCGTATCAAAGGGAGTATTCTTCACACAGCACTATGGAAATCGCTCCCACAGTCGGCAGCGATGGCCACAAACTTGGATTTCTTTCAAATACAATTAGACAAATTCAGTGCGTAGTAGGATAAAGAGATCCACTTAAAAGGCATGTTGGAAAAGGGAGGCCTTCAATAGATGCTACAATTTAAAAAACAACAACAGAGGGTTGGAATACATATGAAATGCATGATTCCTACATGATATGGAGCAGAACTATTGATAAGCTGGTGTCTGTAGAAGGTCATTTCCTTCAGAGTGAAGTGATTGATATGGTATATAAGGGTGAAACGATCCTTTTCTGTTCTTTTGTGTCATCTGCAAAAATGATAAGTATCCCTTCCATGCCCTCATCCAGGTCATTTCTAAAAAACATCGACAAGAGCAGGGTCTAGAGCTAGAGCAGAACCCTGTGACATTCTATTCAAGACACAGCTTTACTCCGGAGTTTTTTCTCTGAACTTCAGAACAGCCATCTTTGCTTCCATGATCTTAATAATATCTCTGCAGAGGATTGTACACTGAACCAAATGAGCTAATAAACACAACAAGAGGCAATGAACAGGAACTTTATTAGCAAGGCCTTCTAGTCTCCATGCAATCAGAGAAAATAGTCTTGACTTTCTTAAACAAGGTCGTAATTGACATTCTGCAAAGAAAATCCAGGTGATACTAATGGCTTGTATGACAGTTGAAAGAATTTAGAAGTGCATGCACAGCAATCCAAAAAGTAACAGAGGCTGACTAAGTGTAACATTGCAGAGACATAACCATCCCATACCCCAATGACTGGATTTATAAGTCCACCAATTACATCTATGTTGAGGCTTATTACTTTGGTAGAGGTATGATATCCAGAAAGTATTTCTGCAGTAAATGGAGGCATCAATTTTTTACCAAACTCACTGGGAGATAATGTTTTGGTGTATTCTCATATAAATGTGACAACCAATGCATAAATGACAGCCAATGCAGATGACTTCCCAGTCAAAAGTGTTAGGGAAGTGTTGTGTTGGGGTAGAATTGACCTGTCTTGGTATATATAGCCCTGCGCCTCCTCCCTCCTTTTGCATTGTGGGCTTGCCAGTCACCTATTGATCGGGCTGAGTATGTATTTTGAAGGGAGCCCCCAATTGCTCCCTATTTTACCTACTACACACTGTTGGGAGTAATTTTAAGAGTGGTGTAATTTCTTAATCTGGCCTTTGGTCTAGGCAGGAAAAAAGGCTTTAGATTTGGGGATATTTAATCGTGAGGCATCGTGAGATAAGGGCACTCTGGCATTTCCCTACACTATATCTGCTTAGTGAGTGACAGGGTTGCTTTATGGGCTGGGCATGCACAGTGGGGTGAATGCCAAGCTAGTGGGGCCATGATGTCTTTGTCTGGTTCACAAACCCAGGGCTCAGGTAGCAAGGAGAGAAAAAATCTTCCAGTCCTTCCTGCAAGACACAGGTTTTGATTTCCATTGCCTCAGGAGTTGGGATGGAGATGTCAGGAGACCAGGCTACCGTCTTTATAACACAGCACTCAAGTCGTAATCAGCTGGAAGATTTATTGCAATACAAACATTTAGCTTTGGATGTCTAACTGAACGTCTGTGGCTTATGAATCCACTGACCCTTCTGAAGAATGCTTCCTGGTTCTGCAGAAGGGTTGAGCTTGGACTGCCATCACACCAACCCCAAGGAAGACTCAAGATACCACTTCAAGTTGGGGAATCTGCGGAGAAAACCAATTACACTAACTTAATTCAACCAAGCTCAACCCTTCATGTATGGATGCATGTTGCAGTTACACGGTGGTTAGAGGGAAATCACTCTTTGCCTGTTCAGAGATTGCTTTTCTATATTAGTGTCTTTTATGTTTCACGATTCCACCCTGGACCTAAGTGCTAGAGATCACTGACATAATTCAAGCCCTGAAGATGGCTGTCGATGAGGTGGAAGAATCATGTGCAAGACATACAAAACCCAAGCATGTGGTTAGGGATTATCAGTTCATGTCTTGGAAGCTGCTCTTCCATGGAAAACCTCATCTATTATTGATGTCACTTACCAGCAAAGCAAAATAAAACAGGTACAGTCAAATTCACCAATAGTATTCTCTATAGGTTGCATTATGGAGACAAAGAAGGATAGTCAACGCTAGTCTACTCACAATAGACCCATTGATGCTAATGGGCATGACTAACTTGGGTTCATTCATTTCTGTGGGTTTGCTCTGGGTACAATTAATTGAATGCAACCCAGAGGCTTGACTGATCTTCTTCAAGGGTGATTATGTGTCCTGCTTTACATAGGACAGTCCCCCCCATCTGAAGATCTCTCAGAAAATTTCTTCTGTCTTCAAATATTTGTTCAGTCCAAATCCAGTTTAAAGATGAAGAACATACTAAGCAGACACAGAGGCGACCTGGTCAGTCTTCATCAATAGGATGGGATTTATTGTATTTCAATTTATTTATTTATTTCTAAATACATATGTATAGATTAGCACATGCAAATCTTAATTCCATTTTGTCCTCATTTATCCTTATGCATTTCCTCCCCCCCCCTTTTTTGACCATGCATAAGAGGCCACACAATAGACTTCAAAAGGCCATCCCCCCCCCCCACAACATGAGATGCTGAGTCCTAGGCATCTGACCATGGGGTGAGATGACATTAAATTATGCACCCCAAAGACCAGACTGAGGTTGATTTCAAAAGGCAGTTCAAACTGGAAAAACCTTTAAATTAGAAAAATGTATATGAAATATTTGATGGATACTTTTGTGCTAACTAATATAAGCATAACATTTATAATTTATTTATTTTTTAAAAAAACTCTTGCAAAGAGGCATTTCCATTTAAGCTGCTGAATTTGGAATCCCATCCAAAAATAGGATGGAAAGTATATCCAGTCTCTTTTATTATTGTCCTCATTCTCTGACTTCCCTTATGCTTATCACAAGCCACAGTAAAACTTGAAAGCCACATTACCGCCTTATTTCCTTGCAAGAGCAAAGATAGTCCATAAATTACCCTGGTGTTCCAACAGATTGCATTACTGATTGTGTACTGAAAAAGTCCTGGAGCTATCCTCCCTTGAGTATGTACACACACGCTGCACCTCTGCTGGAACTGCACTGGCCTTCAGGGTTCATGCACTTAAACATTAGAACTTAAAAAGTAGACTATTACACAAACTCATTAAAATTTAGCTCACTATAAGTAATGGATTTACCCTAAGAGAGTTTATTCATCCTTTCTATTATCTTATGTGGAGGTTTCTTTAACCTCTTAACTTCACAGTCCATCCTATGACACTCTGTCCATCAACATGCCCTTTTGAGAGTTCTTTCAAAACCTTTGAAGCACAAGCTAGCATATTGGGAGTTAAAATTTCCAACACTCTAACATGAGGATTTAATTCAGCGTTAATGAAAAGTTCAACATTATTGTCATTAGAACAAACTTCATTACCAATTTGCAATTGATCAGTTTAAGTATCTATTACTTCTAGTAATTAAACCTCCAATCTCTGTAGATGTGGTGATAAATTGTTATGTAACGCTTAGCTACAATGGCCATCCAATTATTTCTCAATTATAAGGTTTGCAGGATTTGAGTTAAAGCACCACCTCCCCTTAATCACCCCAACCCTACAGATGGGTTTGAGTTCTTTGACTCAGCAGACATTCTTGCAATTCATTCAGTGAAGACAGTGCAAGATCAGACCTTTAAAGAAATAATGAATAGATTTATGATAACACTCCATTGAGCCTGGGCCAATCCTGTTCACAGTAGAGACTCTGGAAGGGCAGTACACTACTAACAGTACACTAATAACCATCTCCTCTTTTCACGCTAGACCCTGTGAAGCAATAGTCCCAATTGCCATATTTTGACCATTGGCAAATCCCTGGAACAGTGTTACCTGGACTTTAGACAGCTATAAGATACTTCTTGCTGAATCCAAATTGGAAGTGAACTTCACTCCTATAGCTGAAAAGATTGACCTTTACACTCTCAGATAAGCTTACTACTGTTCTATATTTCTGCAAGAGGTATGCTTCCAGATAGGTTTCCCTCTCTGAGGACAAGTAATTATGGCATATGGCAATGCTTGAACTAGTAGAATTATCTAACCACACTAAAGATACATACAAACTTCTACCCAGATTCTGGAATCTGAATTTGCCTTGTTTCCAAGGTGAAACTGATGCACTAGGAATTCTCTGTTGTTGTTGTTGTTGTTGTTGTTGTTGTTGTTTCAGAACAGGCCCTTCTCTGTGTTTCATCTATATAAGAGAACAAAGTTCACTATACAAGTGCATAAGAGAAGGGCCTTATCTGTAGTGGTGCCCTGATCTTGAATGTCCTCTCATAAGACACACAACCATTACTAACACTGTATTCATTTGGGGGCTAGTTAAAAGTATTTTTAAAAAACAAAACAAAAACAAACCCCAAGCATTTTAAAATATCGAGCTTGACAAATACTTGCACCCCTCTTAGTTTTATTTAAAAAAAAAAAAAGAAATTGTGTAATTTTGTTTTAATGTTGTTTTAATATTGTATTGTGGATTTTAAGTTCTTGTGCACACCACCTTTGGTCCCCACTTTGCACTCAGTGACAGTGGCCACACCTTGGGAATTGCTTCGACTGGCTGGCTAAACCACGAGAAAATAGGCTCTGGCAGATTGAGTAGAGGAGACCAGTGGTGGGTCCAATGGTCAAAAAAGTGGTTTTTGCATGTGCTGTAGAGAGGGGAAAATGGGGCTCATCAACATATGAAGGTAGCTCATCTAGGAGAAGGAAAACTCTGGTCCCACTGCCTTGTGGGATATCTTTGGGAGAAGAAAAGGCTTTGTATGCCTCCTTCTGGTAATCCTTGCAGTCAAGCTGGCACGAAACATAATTCTCTGTCTTTGTTTGGACAACATCAGTGAATCCAAGAGGGGCTCTTGTTGTCTGGGCAGCCCAGGATCTCCATACACACTGCCCTGGGAGGTCACTTCAGTGCTGCTAACACAGAAAAACAATGCAAGAGGTAGCAGTTATGATTTACAAGTCTCTGCAGCCCCTCTACAAGTGATTCTCCAGTGGCTTGACTACACCCCCGGAGGCACCCTCCATTGGCTCTTGAGACAGATGGATGCCAACAAGGATATAGAAAGTCACATGTGCTCCAATTCTAGAGCTGATTTTAGAGCTTGAGGTGAATATGTGCAAATCAGGAGCAGGGCCAGGAGACACAATCCCACTTCACCTACCATGCATCCATATCCCCAGATTTGTCTCATCAACAGAGCTCCTGACATCCAGCCTACCAAATGTCCACCTTTAATTCCCACCCTCCACTCACCTCTCACCACAGATATACCCTCAGTGGTAAACTAGCACCATATTCACCCATAGTTAAATTAGGAACTACCGCTTGTGTTCTGTTCTCTTTAATGAATGGAAAACTGTGATATTCTCTATATGACACTGCTTTTAAAATCATTTCTTCTTTCAGGAGGTGCAGAATGAAGAATGCTAGTGCCAGACTACTATCACTCAACCAAAGTGGCATTTTTAGTATAAAATACTTCCAGGAGCAATTTCACCTGGGGGGGGGGGAGGCATCTCTTGAAAAACATTAAATATTTTAGCAGTGCTCAGTTGAGAAGATCCTTGCATTTTGTGTTAATGTGAACCTTGAGAAAATGCCCCTTTAGGAAAAGACTGATCACACATTAGAACTTTATTTAAATGACAGTTATTTTTAAATGTCACAGTAGCAGAGCACTCAGATAAAAGGTCTTTCAACAAATTTAAAGGCAGTTTAAAGGTAAAGAAAATATGGGAATAGCCATCTGAATTCTTGCTGGAGATGGGTCTACATTAATTTGTGCAAGCCTGCAGGCAACCAACCAAGCACTTGAAATATTGTGTCACCCCTTAGATGCCCAATTGTTCACTATACTATGCTGGAGATGGGCTTCTGAAGATAGCATCTCTTCAGGAGGTCCTTTCATTCCACACAGTGTAGGAATCAGTCCTCTAGTGTTCTGGCAACTGCTGTTGTGTTTGGAACCTACTGAAGAACTTTCTCTACCAATAAGTCTTTCTAATACCTTTCCCAGTCTGGATCTGTATTAGATTTGTTTTTAGGATGTTTTACGGTTGTTTGAAACATTTGTATTGCTTGCTGATCCTTTGGGACTAAGGGTTTATATAAATCTAATAAAGAAATAATTAAGTTAAAGCTAAAGCCCCAAACAGCTGAGGCTGAGATTATAATCCTTCTGTCTGTACAATGGACAGAGGTCCATCTCATGCAAGGGGAAGTAGTTAGGAGAGCTGAAAATAATGCCAATATATTTCACATCTGGCAACCAATGCACCCCTTTGGTTTCAGATAGTACATGGATACTGGTAAAGGTAAAGGGACCCCTGACGATTAGGTCCACTCGTGACCGATCTGGGGTTGCGGCGCTCATCTCGCTTTATTGGCCGAGGGAGCCGGCGTACAGCTTCCGGGTCATGTGGCCAGCATGACTAAGCCGCGTCTGGCGAACCAGAGCAGCGCACGGAAACACCGTTTACCTTCCCACCGGAGCGGTACCTATTTATCTACTTGCACTTTTGATGTGCTTTCAAACTGCTAGGTTGGCAGGAGCAGTACATGGTTAGACAAGTCTAAAAAGGCCAGGATACAAATTTTCATGGCCCTCTAGCGGCCATGGTGGCTCATTTACCAGAAGTAATGTATTTAGTGTTAACTCTGGAACTATATACTTGATTCTGACCAAACTAAGTCTCCTGATGCTCCAGAACCATTTAAAGCAGGGAAAGCCCTCCAGATGTTACTGGACTACAATTTCCAGTATCCCTAACCATTGACCATGCTTATGGGAGTTGAAATCAAGCAAAATCTGGATAGCATCACATTGGTAATCCCCAATTTAGAAAATTCTGATGCTTTACCCCATGTGAATATATTTTGGAAGATAGAAGAGGGATCATGGGAAATTTGTAGCATTTATTTACTCACACTTAATTGAATAATCAATTCCTTCTCTTGTCAAGTAAAGAACAATTGCCTACTAAAGAAGAGAACACCTGTATTTTTCTGACCTTTACATAGGTGACTTGAAAGGCAGAGACAAAATAATTGCATAGTTCTCAGAAAGTTATAATAGAGATATTAGCCACGTCCTATGCTATTCATATGAACCCTTCCTCTAATTGTTCTCTATGCTTATGTACTCTTGGAATGTGGCCAGCCCAAAGCTGAGTTTAATGCATACACATTAGTAGCATCAGTACATTACAAATAGTGCGGAAACAAAGATGCAGGTTGTGGGACACGCTTCTGAAACTTATGCAAACCAATTTGCATGTCTTAATTATGGAGGAACAAACTTGAATGCACAGGGGAAAGAGTCATGCTTGAGCTTAAGCCCTGTCTCCTTAACTGCTTCAGTTATTCTGAATGGCAATGTGACTTTCCATCTCTGTTGTTCACCCCTTAATTTAAAAGTGCTTGCCAAAAAGTGGATATCCCATGCAAGATAGAAATGGCTGTAACCAATGAAGGGGCTGCATAGCTCAATGACTGAGTACATGTTTTGCATACAGAGTGCATCGAGTTGAATTCCTGGCATTTCCAGTTAGGAGAACCTAAAGCAGCAGGACTGGCAAAATCCTGTTTCTTTTACATAGTGGATGCTGGTATATTAGGAAGAATGGGACACTTTCCCACAAAACTCAGTCTGCCCTCATCTCACACCCAACTACCTGTTGTTTTACTAACCAGCCCAGGAAGCTATGCTGACTGTCAGCTCCATCCTCTACACTCAGTGTTGCACATATATAACACAGCAGGACAGGGCAAAACTAGAATTAGTTGTCTCTGTCTGTCCTTGAGTCCATCTACCATTGGTCTCCCTGCTTTCTGCATCCCAAAGGACACCAGCCACTACTGCTTACTGAACTGCTGGACAGAGGAAGCAGACAAAACTTGACTAGATGGATTGAGGATCTGACCGTCAAAAGCTGTATCCTATGCTGCTCATTAGTTAAAACAGAGATGAGGAATGTATTCTTCATCTACAACTCACTGCACATCATTGGCCATATTGACTGGCACTGGTGGGAGTTGGTCCATTGACTTCTGGAGGGCCACAGAGTTTCCCATTCATGACTTTTAAAATAATATGATTAAACGAGCAATACAGCTGTATAGGAAGGCTTACACCCCCATTGCATCTCTTGGAAAAGCATTCCAGGGCAGGAGACTCTCTGAAGTGTTCTTGAATGCCACATTGGAGCAGAATTTTTAAAAATATACTTAACTTGAATCAGATCGTTGGGCCTGTGCAACCAGAGCTTGTCTTGATTGGCAGAAGGTGACTCTCAGACAGAGGGAGCTTGCAAGAGATTAGTTTGCTGCCTCCAGAGCATGTGAAATATGACTGAGCTATGGGCCAACCCCTTGCTCCCTTATTTGTTTAAATATTTATAAGCCACAGTTTTGTGAAAGAAAATGTGGAAAGGCATTACACACCATGCTAAATTGCAACAAAAACAATAAAAATATCAATTAAAACATCTATGAATACTAGCTGGCCAACAACAACAACAAAAAATCACATTACAAAGGTCTGTCTGGAAAATGCAGTTTTTAGGAGATGTCTAAAAGAAGGCAAGGATGATTTATGCCTAAGCTCCCTGGGAAGGTGCTCCCACAAAGTGGAGCCTGCCACATGAAACACTTGTTCCCTAATGAAGATCAAGCAACCCTCGGGGGCATAAGGAACCACAATAAGTGCCACAGCAGAGGATCTCAATGACTAAGATGAAACATAAAGAATCAGATAGTCCTTAAGGCAATTTGTTCTGTAGTTTGTGAATTAACACAAAAAGCTTGAAATGGGTCCACTAGCAGAGAAGTCTTAATGTGCAATTGGAAGTGTTTGTGATTTCAAATAGAGCTTTCAAGACCTTGCCCAATTTGTTTCAACATGATCTTAATGTATGACATTATAGCATTTAAAAATGTATAGCAACTGCTCCCCATAAAACAAGACTCCTACCACTGATTGTTTACAAACCTAATATGCCAAATTCACTTCAGTTTGCATTTGGGAAACTGAGGTTGAGAGACTATGTGTCAAGAAAACCTATATAATGAATCCCTGGCAAAAGTTCTACTTGAATCCATGTTTCCCAGATCGTAATCTAATCTGTTACATAGTTGTCATATCAAACAGCAATGTCCCTTCAAAGTATGTTAGGGGAAGATCTAGTTGTGTCCAAAGTAGCCTTTTTCAGCATTTGTCTGAAGATTAATGACAACCCCTTACTCACAACTCCCAGGGCTTTGAAGTCAATGCTATATATCTAACAAATGATGTTTGTATGGCCTCATGAACATTTGGCATTTGAAAGTGAGACCAGCTTGTAAGAGAGAAATGCTCACTGGACACCCATCCCTGGATGATCTCACTTGCATGGTTCACATCACATAATATAGCAGATCAAGGCAACAACACAGCTCACCAATTCCTCTGGACAAGAAATAGCAAGGTGGTGGGTGTAGATATTAGTCAGAGAGGATGAAGGGATTCAACTCATTGTTAAGTAAGCAAATTTCACTCTACAATGCTCTTTTTTGTTGCATTATCAACTGATGAGTTTTAAGTTTACAAAGCAAGAGTTGTGCTCCTCTGCAGGGCTTGCGGGCTTTTAAAAACTTTTTTCTTTCTTTCTAAATAAATATAGTTTTATTGATTTCCAATAAATAAATCCAAAAAAAGAGAGGATACAAAAACAAAATTCCCCTCGTCCCCCTCTGCCCCTCCAGGACAAAGCAGTTGAGTTAAGTTTGCCATTCTTCAGGATTATCAGTAAAGTATTTTTTACAAAATGATGTCATATTTTCAACATCATTTATATTATTCAATGCAAGCAATCTCTTGATTATTTTTTCTGATACAGTAACAGAGCATACATTCTGTTTCCAGCGTGAGATACACGGGTGTTCCAATCATTTCCAATTCCATGAGTAGGCATGCCGCTACTAAAAGAAAAGTAATTAGTTCTTTATAGCAAAGATCAGATTGCCTATCTCTAAAAATAGTCAACAGTCCTAATATTGGGGTGCATTCCACATGTTGACCCATAATATAGCCTGTTTCTGTAAACACCCTCTGCCAGAAGGCTTGGCAGAAGTAATATAATCCACTGCACTCATTCACAGAAACATAAAAAGCAGCACTGCTTATTCTGACCAAATAAACAGCACTCCATTTCTGCTGTGGTCAGCCACATGCCTATGGAAAGCCTACAAGCAGCACATGAGTGCAAGCAGGACATGATCTGCTATTGCAACTGGGGGAATACAAACTCACAGGAATGTGTAAGGAGAAGTGAGGAGCCCAGTTCAGGGTGCACAGTACCATCAGCATCTGACAAAACCATCAACCAAGAGAGGCCTGAGGGGTACTGGGGCAATTCCTCTCCCACCTTCCTTGGGACTGCCTCAAGGGAAGGCCTCAAGTGGGGGAGCCAAGTCAGGGAACATACATACCACTGGGTTTCATTTGTCGTGAGAGCACACCATCCCTTTAAACTGTATATAATGTATTTAAAAATTGGGTGCCTTGGGGGAAAAGATGGCATATAAATCCAATAAATGATAAATAAATCTGAAGGACTTGAAAGCACTCTACAAATGCAAAGTATTTTATATACAGTACAGTGGTACCTCAGGTTACATACGCTTCAGGCTACAGACTCCGCTAACCCAGAAATAGTGCTTCAGGTTAAGAACTTTGCTTCAGAATGAGAACAGAAATCGTGCAGTGGTGGTGCAGCGGCAGCGGGAGGCCCCATTAGCTAAAGTGGTGCTTTAGGTTAAGAACAGTTTCAGGTTAAGAACGGACCTCCGGAACGAATTAAGTACTTAACCCGAGGTACCACTGTATAGCAATGTTTCAGCTATGCATTGGAGGAATTTGTCAGACTATACACTTGGCAGAGTTTGAGTCCCAACAAATATCGGGGAAGTTGAAGTCCTCCATGATTACTATTTCTTTCCTTTATCACAATCGGCTTTTGAAACTCTTCCACATTTCCAAAGTTTGTCACACATTGTTGGGGAGATGGGCATCAATTAAAAAAACCACTAATCAGAATCCGCCTTGGACTCACAATATTATTTGCGTCTGATAGTTGCAGTTGTTAGGATGCTAGTCCATCCTCATTTAAGCCTTGTTAGCACTTACTCACTCGCAAGGTCTGGAGCAAGCATCAGCTCCCCATAGGCTATGCAAAAAGTTACACTGAATCTGTATCCTAGAACATGACACCAGCTTTCCCAGATATTACCTGCTCAAGTTGGCATATCAACCTGCTCTTAATTACCTGAGGCAAAATCATGTTGCTGTTTAATGTTAACTAAAGTTTAGAACTATCACATGAAATGGTTGAAATGCTAAGACCATTGATGAAAGGCAATTATGAGGGGCTAGGGAAAAGGGATTGAGTCTGCCAGGGAAGAAAAGGATTAATCTCTCATCTCCATCTGTCAGACTTAACTGACCATAAATCCATAAGGCTTATTTCTCCAACATCTGCTACTGGCTGTTTGAACAGTCCTTTCTAGTACTTTTTTTTTGTCATTATGGTTTATGATGTTGCTCATCAGAGTGGCATTATTTCTCTGTGGATTTTGCACATGTAAGGGAGAGTGAAGCCTTGCAGTTCTGTTCTCAAAAACTGAGGCCTTGGGCACTTATTACAACCAGGGAGAGGATGCTGGTGTAAGGATACGAGGCAATGAATCACCATCCTGCCCATATTCTTAAAGCCTTTTAAAGTTGAAGAACATATGTGAGTTTATGCATAATTTTATGATACAATCATGTGAGAAGCATCATTAGATTTGTGATGTTTTGCTGAATTATGATTTCAACAGTGCTGTGCTTGAAAATGGGGTCCCTGGTCAGATTTAAGGGGAGGCTGTCAATGTGGCTATCCTGAGGTGCAGGGCTTGAGGACTGTGCCAGGGCTGATGTATACATAACATTGGTTATAAGTTGAATCCCAGCCCAGGACAGGGTGTGCACACATGCACAAACGTGTGTGTGCATGCTCATACACACACCACAGATCCCTGTACAAAACCTGTTTGCACTGGCAGTTGAATTCTACTTCAGCACTGGTAATAAGACAGGACCCTCATAAGACAGCACCCTCCACTGAACCTGAATGTAGCAGGCAAATTCTGGGGGCCCAGAGCAGGTCACATGTTCCACAAAGCTCTGTCTCTCAGCACTGTGCTGTCACTACCATCCCAGAATTTCCTGGCAGAGGTATTTGTCTCGTTTTATCTAATAGTAGGGCCAGTCCTTCCAACAAGGAATTGAAGGGGAAACAGACTTGCCCCAGTCTTTATGCCCTGAAAAATTGTAACCACAATCCAACACATGGAAATCAATGTACTTCAGCATGACCAGGTGTTAGATGGATAGCTGTCATTCTGTGAAAAGGCCACTATGTATTGGACTAGGACATGGGAGACCAAGGTTCAAAATCCCATTCAATGGGTGACCTTGGACCAGTCCCTGACTCTCAGCCTTACCTAGCTGAATTTTACACTGTATTTTATTCAATGTATGTTCTGAGGAAGTGAAGTACCATGGTTTGGAAAAGACAAATAAGCCCAGGATGCATGAAGGAATCGGTTGATCATCTTGCTACATTATAAGTAGGGAGGCTCTGATTTATGGTGTCTGGGAAATAAAGCCATTTCATTTGCCTCTTTCTTTCACCTCTTGAGCTTTTGGTTTTCTTACTGTCATTTTAATTCACTTATCAGAGAGAGAAAGAAAGAGAGCAAGGGAGGGGGGAATAAATTCAAACAAGTTGCATAGACTGAAAGCTCGGGCAAAAGAATTTGTGGAGAAACAAGATATAGCAGAGATATGGAACAGGGAAGAAAATTACATTTGTCAAACACTTCTGTAGAAGAAAGAGTATCAAGCTATAGTAATTTATATATAAGATCATGACGCACCACATCTCAGAAACAAATGGGCATGGAATACAAATTTAGGGATGGGGAAGCAATTTGGTACAGTTCATATTCAAATGAGAGCCTGCCTGCCTAATTCACACTTTCCAAAACACTGTGTGAACCAAAACAGAGCTATCCTCCTAAATTCACCTTTCTAGAAATTTGACTATACAGTACTCCAACCAAATACGCATACCTATAAAATGCATATATTAGGGAAAATTGTGCATTAAATGCATTTGCATAGCTGATACCACAGTAGTTATTGTGGTAAGGTTGTACTGCTCACCTGATTTCTGTTTACCTTAGTCATGGCAACGTATCAGGAAGAATTGAGGGAGGGGAGGGGCAGTGGTGAGGTCCACACACTTGTACCTTGCTGGGAGAGCCAATCTAATGAGGAGGGTGGCACATTTGTACCACGTCCCTCACCTCCCCCTCTCTATCCTGAGAAGTGGCAGTTACTCATAGCATCTGGGGTGATGCCCCCACAACACTATTCATTCCTCTTCCAGAAATGTCTGAGAGGTGTGAGATTCCAGGGGTTCCAGGGGCTTACTCATAGAATCATAGAATCATAGAGTTGGAAGAGACCACAAGGGCCATCGAGTCCAACCCCCTGCCAAGCAGGAAACACCATCAGAGCACTCCTGACATATGGTTGTCAAGCCTCTGCTTAAAGACCTCCAAAGAAGGAGACTCCACCACACTCCTTGGCAGCAAATTCCACTGCTGAACAGCTCTTACTGTCAGGAAGTTCTTCCTAATGTTTAGGTGGAATCTTCTTTCTTGTAGTTTGGATCCATTACTCCATGTCCGCTTCTCTGGAGCAGCAGAAAACAACCTTTCTCCCTCCTCTATGTGTCATCCTTTTATATATTAGAACATGGCTATCATATCACCCCTTAACCTCCTCTCGTCCCGGCTAATCATGCCCAGCTCCTTAGCCGTTCCTCATAAGGCATCGTTTCCAGGCCTTGACCATTTTGGTTGCCCTCCTCTGGACACGTTCCAGTTTGTCAGTGTCCTTCTTGAACTGTGGTGCCCAGAACTGGACACAGTACTCCAGGTGAGGTCTGACCAGAGCAGAATACAGTGGCACTATTACTTCCCTTGATCTAGATGCTATACTCCTATTGATGCAGCCCAGAATTGCATTGGCTTTTTTAGCTGCCGCGCCACACTGTTGGCTCATGTCAAGTTTGTGGTCAACCAAGACTCCTAGATCCTTTTCACATGTACTGCTCTCAAGCCAGGTGTCACCCATCTTGTATTTGTGCCTCTCAGTTTCCTTGGAATGAGGGACAGCAGAGACTGTAGTGCCTTTATGATATCAGGTTTACACATACATACAACCTGAGCCTACGGTGGAGGGGCTCACACCAGAAGGTCTTGCTTCCTTGGGGTTTGAAAAGAAATCATGCATGTCTCTCTTTCTCAGGCTTCTACCTGCTTCTAGCCAGCTCTTTCTCACTATTCTGGCCTTTGTCTTTCTCACTACCAACCAGGTGAGGGAGGGCCCCCCCACAATTTTCCCTTTGGCATAGGGCAGCTTCACATCAGAGGGCAGCAAGTGGGAAAGAATGGGGGGGGGGACCTGAAACTAAAATTCAGAGATTTCCCCCCTGTCCCTATACAAATGCATCAGGGTCGGTCCAAAGAATTGATTTAGTTCAGAATAAGATTGCTAATGGTGATTATAAACCCCTCCTCTTTCTAATTCTTACATCCATGGTGGGGAGTCAGCAGCAGGTAGTGGTGATGGAGTCTTCATTCTTATGCCCTAGACACTTCTGTATATTATCACTGGTAAGGAATGGCAGAGAAGAGGAGGAAAGAACAGGTCACTCCCCCACAAGACTAAAAATAGTCAAAAGGAAAGCAACAGAGGAAGAAGGAACAGTGTAAACATATTCAGTTATTTCAGCTATGTGGATTTAGAATTAAATACAGGTAGGGAGCCTTTGCTCACCAGTGCCCTCCAGAGGCTTCTGGCTTTGGGTTCCCATCAATCCCAATGATAGGCCATGGTGGCTGGAACGGATGGGATTTGTGACTCAAAACCTCTGAAGGTTGGTCGGGGAAGGTTGCAGTATGGCTGTGGGGATGAGTGAGCAATTCAAAAGGCTTTACTCTAAACTGCCCTGTGATACACATATGAAAGCTGGTATATATAAATTTAACAAATAAAATCATGGAAAGGGTGAATTTTCAGGAGGGGTTGGAAGGAAGGCTGGAAGGAGGGAAGGAGATGGTCTCCTGAAGTATCCTGAGAGGCACAAGATGCAGCAAGTCTGGTTGGAGGCTTTGATGCTTCTGAGTACCAGTTGTTGGAAACCTCAAGAGGGGAGAGTGCTTTTGTGCTCCCGTTCTACTTGTAGATTTCCACAGGCATCTGGCTGGCCACTTCTGTGCATGATACTGGATTAGATGGGCCATTGGCTTGATTTATTTATGTTTGTTTGTATTTATTTATTTATGTTTGGGTTTTTTTCTGAAGAAGCATGGAATGCTGGTGACTATGGAATATGTATATAAAAAATAAAATATTGTCCAGTAGCACCTTATAGACCAACTTATAGACAAACATATCTACATGCTACCATCCCAAACATACTAAACAATCAATTGTATATATAGCCAGGCTCTACATTACAGCTGCATCTGCTTCAAGGTCTGCTCTGCTAGGACCACTGTGGATTAAACTTAGCCCTTCTGTGATTCCCTATACTTAAACATCCATAGCATGGCCTAATTAGCAAAACCTACCTGGCCACAAAATTTGCTTGCTCTTCTTTTAGGTTGGCTGTCAGATGGAATAACGGTAGGTGTGCAATTAAACAGGAAGGGGGAAGTTGCTCTTTTGTGCCTACTGAGGTACAAAATAAAAAGTGACAAATGACTTTATTAGTACATGACAGGAAAACATACTCTTAACTCTATGGGTTAATCACAACTCAGCTGACTGACAGCTTGTACAATGGAACCATCATTTATAGACCCTTATCACCAAATATCCCAACACTTCTGTGGATAAATGCAGGTGTCTGGACATGAAACTCAAGCAGGTTGTGTCCATTCAGTTGAGACATTCATTTATACATAATTTATAGAATAGGATTGTTCTGAATAAAGGTACATTAAACAATAGTGCATTCCCAGGAAAGGACAGCTAGCCTGAGTTGTCTGAAATCATGCAGGGCTTTGTAAGAGTGTGCCAAATCATTTTGAAAGGTGTATGCTAGAGTTTCTCTGCTATCTCACATAAAGCAAGCCTTTGAGGCAGACATGGAAGTTTCTATGTAAGAGGTGTGGGATTTCTCAAAAGAATTTTGCACATTTTTACCCAGAAACAGGAATGTTGCAAAGTCCTTAACTTGGGGCTCAGGCCTATGACATAAGAGTGCATATGCTGCACACAACTGCTCCCATGTGTAGAAATGTGTGAGGGGCCTGCACAGGCCAGGTGAAGATGTGTGTGCACTAGTGCCTGCAGGAGAAATGCCTCCTCACCAATGCATGTTTGGCCAGCATGAAAAGGGTTCTTTTATGTGCTGATGTATATACATAGAGGTCCTCTATGCTAGAAGATGGCCTTGATTGGTCTAGGTCCCTCTTTGAATGGTTGCACACACTTTGGTACATGCATACAACTCTTTCACATACTGGAAAAACCGTGGATAGTGACTGTGTGAACCTTTCAATCATATGTGTATATGGGGATAAATAGAACTTATATATTTTGTTTGTTTTAATATTAAGCAATTGTTGTTATCGTCATCACCACCACCATTTAGGCAAGGGATTAATAAACCAATTTTGAATGAACTGATATAGTGACTGATGAAACAATAAGGAATTTTTGAGGCACCTTCAGGACTAAAAGATATTGGTATTGTCAATATCTAACCTTTGTGGACTGGCAGAGTCAATTTCATCACATCCATGATAAGGCTATGAAACCATTTTGAAAAATTCACAAAAGCAGTTCGAAAGACTAGCCTTTGATAGTAGACTTGAGGTGAACATTTAAGTAACACTGCCAGTCATGCCCACTGAAACTTAGCACTACCCTGCAGAAGATATAAACGAGGAGAAAATGCAGTCTGCTCAACTAGGAGAACTACTGTACCTCCCCCAGTTTCCTCCTGGTAGCTGCCAGTGCCTGTAAAATCAGAGAAAGATCCTTTAAGTCATCAAAGCTAGCAACTAGGAGGCCAACAATAGTATAGCCCTTGCCAGCATATATAAAGCCTCAGATGGCCCCAGGTTTTGGCTGAGATCATTCACAGTTCAGCTAGCAGGGCCTTTAGGGATCTGACCATGGTCCTGAACTCCTTAAAAAGCTTTGTCTTGACTTTGCCTCACTTGATTTTGCCAAGACTTTGCCTCACCCAACTTGACCTGCTTGGAAGCAGCTCTGCTTATTCCTCTCGCTTCATCTTCTAGCCCCAAGTCTCAGAAGAAGAGGTTACTCCCCATTTTGCAATGAAGTTTTTTTATCACGTGGTGGACTTTTTGATGCAAGTAGGATTTCATCATACTTGAGGGTCTGCCGAATAGTTACCTTTTGAGTATTTTAACTAGAGTGAGGTATGTGAATAAAACAGAAGATAAAAAGGATTCAGATTGGCCTGACTTTTGAAAAACAAACTAAAGAAACAAGCTAACTTTATCAAAATGATTTCTATCAGTGTGCTGGCAAGTGCAGGGTGGGAGTGAAATATTTCCTTTGTAGGCAACATGCCTGAGGACATGTCCAGGTCCTTGTATGCACTAAATCCATCTTTTATAAGCAGAAATTCACTGTACAGCCATAAATATTTAAGTAGTCAAAAAGGTCAGACCCTGTTTCCAACAGTGGCTGCCTCCTGAGCATGGATTGAAAATGTATATTTTCTTTTTAATTAGAACTGTCAACTAATGAAAAATTAATCAGATACAATTGTTTCATCATGAGTTATTCATATAAATGTAAAACATACACTTGCATGTCACCACAGCACCAATACAAGCACCTTTTTAAGGCATTTGAAAGAAACACATAATCATTCCCAAATCTGCAAGAATGGGCTATTGGCATGAATTTAACTGGTAAAGCTGGCAGTCGGGCTTCCTTGCCCCTCGGGGGATCATAGGAAAGGCACTGTTCTAAGAAAAGTTAGTTATAATAGTAAACAAGTGGCAATGGGGGGAAATGGGTAAACTCCCAGGCACTGAACCAGAGACAGCTAATTAAATCATAGCCCAGTGTCTTTGAAGTCAAGATTACAAGCCAGTCGTAACTATTTCACTAAGTCCTACTTTTTTCAATGAGACGGAAGCTGAAATTCTATACTCACTTACCTAGAAGTAAACCTAACTGAACTCAAAAGGGCAGACTTCTAAGTAGGCACTCACAGGTTTGCACTGTGAAATAGAAGTAACTTCAGTAGCAATCTAATCCACCTTTCAGCCCAGCTGACGTTGGATTTCCACCACTATGGCATTTCTGATTGCTGGCCATCTGACGTCTGCTTAAAAACTTCCAATAAAGGAAAGTACAACTTACAAGACATTCTGTTCCACTGTCAAAGTGCTCACCATCATGATTTTCTTTTTAATACTTCTTAATTTCAATATTTTTTTCCTGGTAATTTGAACCCATTACTTTATGTCCTACGTTCTGGAGCAACATAAAACAAATCTGCTCAGTCATAAATGCAGACATTCGAATATTAGACGATGACTTAATCATCTCTTCTCCAGGTGAAAAATGCACAATTCCTTCACTCTTCAGAAATCTTGATCTGCAGAGCCCTCACTGTTTCTGTCACCCTTTCCAGAAATGTCCCAGTTTGTTCACACCCATCTTAATCTGTGGTGCCCCAAACTGGACACAGTACTCCATGGAACTCAGGGTTGGTTAATATATGTGTGAATGCTTACTGCAACATCAGCTAAACATCATAGATACAAGTTGTCCAGTAGCACCTTAGAGACCAACTAAGTATGTTCTGGGTATAAACTTTTGTGTGCATGCACACTTCTTCAGATACACTAAAACAGAAGTCACCAGACCTTTATATATAGTGGGAGGGTGGGGTGGGGTTTTTCTCAGGAGGGTAATAGGAGATGGGTGATTGACTCAATGGGCATGGTAAACCTGTTGACGACTGTTAATGACTGCAATTAGTCCTACAGGAAAAAGCACGGGATAGGATTTATATATTTCTACTGCGTCAGACCAACACGGCTACCTACCTGAATCATAGATACAGTGGTACCTCTGGTTATGAACTTAATTCATTCCGGAGGTCTGTTCTTAGCCTGAAACCATTCTTAACCTGAGGTACCACTTTAGCTAATGGGGCCTCCTGCTGCCGCCACATGATTTCTGTTCTCATCCTTTGTTAAAGTTCTTAACCCAAGGTACTACTTCCGGTTTAGCGGAGTCTGTAACCCGAAGTGTTTGTAACCCAAGGTACCACTGTACAACTTCCATATAATCTCAGACTAATTAAAACAATGGGACTAAAGTATGTTTAATATAGTTTGCAATTCTAACTCCATTTACCAAGGAGTACACTCCATTGCATTCAATAGGACTTCTTTTGAGTAGGCATAGTTAGCATTGTTCTGCAGGTCTGGATCCAACTCATCCCCCCCCCCCCCAGTGGAGTCTTTTCACAAATTTGATCTGAAGCTATTGAGGGCATGCATGTTTGACAGAGCCCAACATCTCATAAATACATCAAACATACATCTGGTCCCCCAGTTAGAAATGGAACAGTTAAGTTCTTCGTCTTTTACATGATGCTTTTATTAGCTAAACTAAATCTATACTCCATAATTTCTGGTATTGTATATAAATCCTGAGAGACCTAATGAATACATACATTTAATTTTCTGTTATCTGTTATGGCACTTGATAACTTGCTATCAAATGACTGCATAATCAGTTGGTTCTCCCACCTCAATCTAAATTTCTCAATCTGCATTTCTCTCATTTTCTCATTTCTCCAATCTTAAATTCTGTGCTCCACTTTTTCACATCAGTTTACATCCTTTTAAAAAGAAATCTTTAGAAATTCATCAACATTTGGGTGTAGATTTATTCTAAAATACACATGTATTTTCTCACAATGCACACATTTTGGTAAACCCATTTTTATTAATATAATAATGTGTCTTTATATGTTAGTTTAGCTAAAATATGCATTTATATCCATTTTTGTACACATTGCTTGACCAGAGAATGGCATTGCAAAATTCAGATAAGTGTTAATTATTATTATTATTATTAAATGTGTTGTTTTTAATTTTTAATAAAACAAGTAAACATAACACGGGCACTGCAGGAACAACAGTTCATAAACATACAAGCACAACACTGTATTAAAGCAACCAAGAGGAGAAAAGCTGATTCCCAGTCATGACTTAAGAAAATCTTTCCAGTGTGAAGTCCGAGTCCCTGGAGGGCAACAGTTTATATTATGTTTGCTTATAAAGCAGATAAAAGGAAATCAAATTTTGTCAATGCTGTCATGTTTTGCCATTCCCTTAAACAGTGGTGGGTTAAGTGTTCTGAAAGTGCTGTGTCCCTTACACAAGACCACTATTTGGCCTTATAAGACACGTCCAACACTCTCTCAATATCTTTCAGAATGAGGTGAGTTCTGGGATTAATGTTACTAAGAAAGCATTCCTCTCCCCCTGCATCTGACAGAACACACACACACACACACACACACACACACACACACACTGCTGTGCACGCCAAACCAAAAGTTATTGAGGCACTCACAGTTGATTTGATCTTCAAGCATGAGCTCTAGATCCTGCACTCTCATTTTGAGAATCTCTATTTCAGACTGTGTCTCCAGATCCATTAGCTTTCTTAGTTACATCCAGCATTTTAGCTGAAGGGGTTTCTATTTTAGTTTCAAGATGCTGAAGAGCCTCTGTCCAGGCTGCTTTAGGAGCATGCCTAACCTATGAAATATATTCACTGGCTCATCTGACATGTAAGTCATTTTCAAGCCCTGCCTTGCCCTTGAGCCACCTTACACCATTTTGGCCAGGCCTTCCTTGTCTGGAGCGTCAGTGGTTCACTGCTCTATTACGTTGTCTGAGTGAAGTTTCTGCAACTTTGCTTGCAGGGCTCTCGTGCTCTTCTGCATCCCCTTTCCAATCCTGTGGGTTCTTTTTAATCAAGGTCTGTTCTGTTTGATCATTCACAGAAGACTTTGAATTCCTGTGGTTATTGGAGCTGAACAACTAGGCAGCCATTAGGCTTGCATGCTAACCCTTCACCCCAGTAAGTGTGAATTATGAAGGGTAGCTGTGTTTTGGTTTGCATATTGTTTCAGAAAAATACTTTTCCTTTAAATGTGAACTGAATTTCTTCCTCATTCATTGTGAATTAGTTTAATCCCTCATGTTGATATTTGAGTTTAGCTTATTAGAAAATAAGCTGCATCATTACATGGGACATTCTTTGCTGCAAACCAAGTTCTTATTAGTGCAGTATGAGGACCTTGTGGTGATCTCATAATAAAAACACAACTATTTTTCCATCACTTTATATTTAAGATACCATGCTTCATTTTTTCTATAAATGTTTATGTGCCATGGAAATATGCATGGAACTCCGTGTCCTCTTTTTTTAAAGGCATCATTATTAATCCGCATTGATCAGACCACCCTGCTATGCCTATTTATCAAACTTTAAAAGATCGAAGCTTTCACTGTCCATAAAATCTGGCTTATTTTCCCTCATTATTTCCTGATATTCATCCTTCAACTCTCATTTAATGAGAAAAGGTCTTCCTTCTCTCTCTGACCTCTCCTTTAAATCTGACATCAATCTTTAGAATATTTTTTTTCCTGGTATCACATCTCTGCCATTAATCTTAAAGGTGTGTGCATTGTTAAATGCATTTTTGAACATGATTGCCACAAAAGAGTAATTGCTGCAGTGTGTGAAATTGTTACCTGGACTTACATCTTCATTGGAAGAGATTGTGGCTGTTCAGAATGTTTTTAAACAATGTGGGGTGGGGTGAGGGGTAAAAGGGTGGCTAATTCCTTAAGTTAATATCTTACAATTTGGTTGATCTTGCAGTTTGAGTGCTCTTGCAAAGTCCACTTTGGCGTCACACACAAATGCAGTTCAGAATCTCACTGTGCTGCAATCCAGATAGGTTTCTTGGTACACAAGAGGTACAGCAGGGAGGAGAGGGTGGGACTTGCTGTGACTGGATGGAATAGAAGCCTAGACTTCCCTTTCTTTCTTTCTTTCTTTCTTTCTTTCTTTCTTTCTTTCTTTCTTTCATTGGTTCTTAAATGCATGTTCTCCTATAATCTGATATCTTGTAAAGCATAGGAAAACAAGCAAGCAAAATATAATGGCACCTTTTATCTTCCTTCCTTCCTTCTAATTAGTGGGGAATTTCTGGCCCATGGGCATGATTAAGATTGCCTAATTAGAAGTTTTCCCTGAGTCATACCCACCTCTTCTTTCTTCTTCTTCGGCGATCACTCGTAGCTGAGTAAGATTGTCTTCCATGAACACGGTCTTAACAGTGAGTTGGTAAGTGACTGTGGAGGCCAATTCTGGATCTACACGTCCTTCCACAGTGTGGACATAGGTTTCCAGGCAGGAGTTGTTCATAGTGAGGGTTTGCCAAGCATGCCTTCTTCTTAGCATGTTTCTCCCTTTTGTTCTGAGTTCAAGCATCTTCAAAGCCCATGACACCTTTGGTAAAGGCTGTTCTCCAATTGGAGCACTCTCAGAACAGTGTTTCCCAACCTAACACTGGACCAGAGGTGTGGTGTGGGGGAGGGTCATATTGGGGCGATTGCCCTGAGCACAAAGAAATTTATGGGTGCACCTCTGTGGCTGCCATTCTGATGAGAGGCGCTTTGTGTCCTGCCTGCCTATTTCACTTCAGGAGCTGAGAAAGGATGGGCCCTTGTATTCCTTGGCCATGTGGCATCCCCTGCTTGCTGGGGAGGCAGGCGGACAGCAAGAATTGTGGCAGTGGTGGTGGTGGCACCCCAGCCCAAGAATGCGTACACACGTCCCAACGCTGCTCCAAAGCTCCATCCGGCAGCACTGCATGAAGCACTGCATGGAGGCACTGGTTAGGGGCCACATTACTTGTCTTAGGGGTGCAATGCTTCCCTAGCTCTTGGCACTGGCAACCCACACTATGCCACTGCACTGGATGTCATCTGTACAGCCAATCCCTGCTGAAAGTGAAGCACGTAGTCTGTATGACTCTCAGGCTCAAGCATTACCTGAATTACAAGCAAACTCAGGCTGGGTCCTTAAACAGAGCAGCAGCTCCATCTGTGTGGCAGCTTCAGTAACTGAAACCTCTTTAGATTAAGGACCCTAGTTTCTTTCAGTCCCTATTGTCCTCCAGTGGTGCTGGGAGGCCATTGAAACAATATGATTTGAGTCTAGTGGAGCTCACTCATTATTACTTTAACCAGTTCAACAGTAATTCAATTTGTCATGGTGATGTGTTAATATTATATGGAAAAATCAAGATCATATTGTGAATTCAATATGAAAAATCCCAAATCATATAAAACTGCATGGTTTTACACAATGCAGAGCTACTTAAACATGGCATTTGGAATATATATATATATATGTATATTTACCAAATAGAACTTTGTTCATTCCCCCCCCCCCCCAAAGCGAGTCAGACATTGCTTTATCAGAACATACAGTGCCATGAAGTGAACATTACAACCATATCCCTTTGGTACAGATGCAGTTCCTCCAAACTCTTCACAATATTGCTCATACTTTAGTTGAGATTCCTGAATTGCAGGGTGGGTGTGGACCAGATGACCCTCAGGCAGAAGCACCAAGTTCTGCTTGACACTGGGGAGGGGGGCTTGTCATGTTTGTGTAAGGTCACACGAGTGACACACACACACACACACACACACACACCATTATGAGCATCAAGAGGAGGCTACATGACCCAGTGAGGCCCACCTTCACCATGGGGAAGTCCAGCAAGAACCGTATTACTCATTCTGCCTTGCTGTCATGACAAGAAAATAAAATTACATTTACAAATTGCACTTTCCACATTTTCAAAAGCAGAATCTTAATCACTGAGACTCTAACCCTAGCATCAGTCTTACAAAAAACTCTAACCAGCCAACACACACATAAACTATTAAGTTTCAGCTATGTACTACAAAACATAATTGGTCCCTACATTACTTTAATGTGAGAGATAATAAATAAAACACATTTTAATCTTCCACATTCTGATGCCCAGGAGTTTGCGGGAATTATACTCTGGGATGGGTCGTTGTGCGATGCTTTATTATAATTATTTTAGTTTCCTTTTTGCTTCCTTTAATGAAAAATGATCAAAACATGTCTCATTAGCTATAATAAATATCACTACGCTGATTATAGTCTTCAGTGTTTTAGGATTTACAACATATTCACAATGTTCTGGGATTTATATTATTTGTTTTATTATTAACATATTGGTCAGGATGGCCTCAACATTGTAATCCTGCACTGGTGACTCTGAGGCTAGATTACTGCACAGGGACATCTAGCCAACAACATGTGCCACCATTGTTTAAACTTCTACACTGGCTGCAGTGGTATATCACACACACCCCAGCACCCATAGCAGACGAGCACGAGCATCCTCTCCCATGGGGATGGAGGCTACTGCCCCACGCCCCACTGTCAAGGGACTAAGGCTGCTGCCGCTGCCAAATGGTAGCAGAGTTTCCTCCGCACCTGTTCCCTTCCCTGGTGCGTGAGCGACTGTCCATCAGCGACAGTGTTAGAAACTGAGATATGAAAGCTAGGAGCTAAATGGCACCTTAAACCTATGTTATGAGTGCCCCAACATAGTACCTAGGTGCCCTTTTTTATAACAAGAATACAAGCTGAAAATGGATGAACTGTGGCTGAAATTTTATGTTCATTTTTCACATGGTCTAGTCCTCATCTGAAGACTGGGGGAAAAAACAAAGCCATACTTCCCCTGCCCACCCCCCTTAAGAAGGTCCCTTCTCCAATCTTAAGAGAGTGGCTGAAAATGGGGAGGCAGAAAAAGGTCCTCTTTTCCTTCCAGCAGTGGCAGTTCTAATCCTAAATCTTAGGCACGGTATTGTGCCCAGAGCTCAGAAACTGCTCGCATGAATGAAATTCCCTAGAACAATGGGAGTTTCAAATGTTGATCAGCAACGGGGACTGGGTGAGCACAGAGGGCTCCCTTTGCATGCTCACTTAGCTCTGGCACTAATGGGCTGGCACTCGCATACCGGGTGGGAGCAGGGGGCAGACTTTGAAGAGCACCCTCCATGCCCTCCCGGCACTCAGGTGGGGACAGAATGCAGACGGTGCTCACGTGCCAGACAGGGGCTGGGTGAACACATGGAGCAAGTCCTCCGCACTCACCCAGTTTCCACCGCTGACAGGGGGCACTTGTGCAGAACGCAGAGTGTGCCGGGCGCATACGGGGGAAGCGCCTAGTTCCCACACCCCAAGATCCTGTGCCAGAGGCCATGGCTCCCCTGCCCCCCTCCCATGCTATGCCGCTGACTGACTGTTCGTTGTTCACTGAGCCATGTTCAAGGTCCTTGCATTAATTTGCATAGCTCCAGATTTCTTAGCTCCAGGACCACCTGAACCCTTATATCCCAGCTCAGTCACTGATTTCATTGGCAGAAGCATTTGCTTAATATTCCCTGAGTTTGTGAGGCTTATTTAAGAACAACAAGAGACTGAGCCTTTAATGTCATTGGCCCAGTATTGAGAAATACTCTGCCAATGGAGATTCATCAGGCACCTTCCATGCCAACTTATAAATGCCTTCTGAAACCTTTTCTATTCAATCAGGCTTATTCAGGCAATTAAAAATACATCTTTCCACAAGAGTTAGACAATTTCTGACTTTAACTGTACTTTATATGATTTTTGTTGAATGGTTTTATGCATAACGGTTGTAAACCACTCAGGGTTTTGTATGACTAGCAGCATATAAAGCA